GAGGAGGAGGTGCCGATGAGATAGATGGACGGTTATCACTACGCCTTCCATACGAAGTCTTAGTAATCGACTCGTAATCTCGAACCAAGGAATAAGCGTGATCGAGAGTGGTGACACCTCGCAGGACAAGCTCACGCCGAAGATCGTCTCTTAGGCCCTGTCTGAACCTACTTAAAGTCATAGCTTCATCCTCGACGATGTGGCTTCGCATTCGGAGCTCATCAAATTGGGTAACATAGTCAGTTACTGGACGATTTCCTTGTGTGAGAGTATTCCACTGGTCCAACAAGTTGCTCCTATAAGAGTGGGGCAAATACTTCTCTTGAAGGCGGCGCTTCATTTCCTCCCAACTTCCAACGGGAGGTGCATGACGCCTCTCAAGAAGGTCCTCAACGCTTTCCCAAAAGAGTTGGGCAGTACCAGTTAATTTCAAACTGGCAAATTGAACTCTTCGATCCTCTGGGACTCCATACCATGAAAAGAAACGATCCATGTCTCTAATCCATTGTGTAAAAACTCTAGGATCTAAACAACCATCGAAAGTAGGAGCGTCTAATTTGATGTTTCGAAAGTAACGCTCCTCATAGCGAGGTGGTGAATGAGTACCATAATGAGCATGGTCTCGCTCATGATTGCGTTCATGTTCCCCATTCCTTCGCCCATGACGAACATGCTGTCGACCTCCATGTTGATAACGATAAGGTATGTTATGAGACGCTTCAGAGTTATCACCGTCGATTGAGGGGGAGTTTTGTTCTAAATTGTTCACCCTAGCAGCTAGTTCTCTACTCTCTTCACGAGTAGCAGTTACCTCGGTTTGGACGGTTGCTAATTGAGCCTGTAGTTGAGCTAATTGTCGAGTAAGGGCATCAAATTGAGAAGGGTCCATGATCACAGTATTGGAATTTGGTATGACAAAACGACCACTACGCAAATGCATGCAATGTAACACTAACTGAATGCAGTAAATGACGAGATCAACAAACAACTAGCTCAAGAAATGGAAAATAACAACTTCAGCATCCTTTTTTTTTCTTTTTTTGGGATTATGAAAATTCAAATATGTCAAGTTGATACTGTTGATCTATGTAAAATAATGAAGCGAGGGTCAAACACTAGTCAACAACTTAAACATGTAAAATAAATATGGCGGAAGCGGTTAAAATAAATATGGAAAGAGTGAAAATATAGCAAAATTGAAAGTTAGTAAGTCTAAGAGTTTAATCACGTGAATGTTTTTTATATAAAGATTGCAGCACAAAAGTTAATCGATGCAATTCAAGATAAATAGCAATATAACTGAGGATGAATTAAAATAAGGACTTTCCTTTCGTTTGTTTGAAGAAGCCTGAAAAGATGTTTGAAAAATAACTCTTTTTTTTTTTTAATAACGCTTTTCTGTCTTTTCTTTTCTTTTCTTTCTTTTTTTTTTCACTTACAAAATTAAATAAGCAAAAGTATACAAAGCAAGGCCTAAACACTAACAAGAGGCCTTGAACTATCGATTAGTCTACTATATACATAACAATTGAGCCCAAGACATAAGAATTAAAATAAAAGCAAGGACTATCGACTACAGCCCAAACAAAATCTGCATTTGGGGGCAATGATCGCGAGGTGGAAGCTTCGGGCGACGCGAGTTGCTCGATACAGAAGGTGACGGAACCTGAAGCGGGTATCATCCGTCGTCGGCGTGGCTACAGTGTGGATTCTTTGTGGATGGAGCTACGTGGGTCTCGATTTGGAGTAGCAGTCGCGAGGAAACTGGAATTCGCAACTGTACAATTACGGTCTGCAGTGATTCTGGTGAGCCGACGCTGTGAGCAGTGACTGGCGGCCAGGTTTGTGACGAGTGACAAGTGTTGGTTTGGTTATCGATTTTGTGGAATCTGTAATAGAGTTGGACCGATTGTGTGGGATGCCGGCAATTTGAGGGTTGCCGGTGGTAGCCGAAGTAGGTTCTGGAGTAGAGTTCGCGAGATTAGAGCAGAGGAGATGATTTATCTGTGGCTTACTGAAAGGTATTGGATAATTAGAGGTTGCAGGAGATTGATGTATAGTTTGTAATGGGTTGGTGAATTTAATGATCGTGGGTGGTTTTAGGTTGCTGGGATGGTGTATTTTGTGTTGTATTGGGATCTGACAGTTACTATGAGGTTATTGGCGGTTACTATCATTGGGCTTGAGGTGTGGATAGTGGGTTGTAATGGAAGATGGTGGTGCAATCGGGGATTTGAAGTAGCTGTCTAAAAATCATTTTGTATCAAAATTTCAGACCTCTTCCAAATATGAAATTGAAGGAAAACAGGTTTTGGGTGAGACTATACGACTGCAGATGGTGGTCAATTTGTGAAGATGACAGGATAAAATTTCGGGACAAGCTTTAAGTTAATGAACAGCTTACTGACTCACAAAACTGATGGTAAGAGGTTGATGTAGTTAACCAGCACCCAGGTTTGGCTCTGATACCAAATTGATGTAGAATTGGCCAAGGAGAAAAGAAGAAGAGGAAGAACAAACTGAAGGAGGAAGGGAGGAGAGGAGAGAAACGATATCACCACATCTATTTCATTTCATCAAAACTGCCATTTCAATCCAATTACAATAATATAAATACCAAATTAATAAACTTGGGCTTGGGCCAAACCCATATACAAGCCCAATAAAACATAAAACCTAAAATAAGTACATAGAAGATAAAATGGCCCAACAAGTGGCCCGATGAGGATGATGTCCGCATCATTTCAGGCTCGCATCATTTATCTAATGGCCTGTGATGAGCTGCTCTCACAAGTCACAATTTGCTTTGTCTGCACTTTTTGGGAAGATTACAAATTCTGACCATCATAATTATATCTGGACCATTTCCTGTCAGCTCATCGTATTAAGAAATTCGCACTTTGACACGGATAATTTGTCTCGTATACTTTTGTCATTATAGATTGTATGCTGAATTTGTTTAATGGGCATCTTTTCCTTAAATATTTGAAATGTTGAAATGCCCCTATAGATAATTAGGTGTTGTCTAAACTTCGGTTGAACTTTCATTTTTCTGCTGGAAAGAGCAGGGTAAGCAAGTGTAGGTTATCCATAGATTGAATTCCTTTTATTCCCATTGAGTAGAATTTGTAGCAAATAAAGGGTGAAGGTTTTGAGTTAATTCTTGCTCTTTAGCTAGATCCTCTGTTTTTACATTAATGTCAGGTTGAGTTTTGAAGAGTTCTAATGAATGTATCAATAACTTGGCTTGTCCCTTAGCAGCATTAGATTTTCAGTTTTGCTTTTGCTGCATGCTTGTCTGTTCTTTCCAATCAGAAAGACTGGTCAGAAAATTTATCTTATTTCTCATTGAAGAAGTGGTTAACATTTCCCATATTTCACAGGACCTCTATGTGCTTTGTAAAGTCTTCCAGAAAGATGGTCTGGGCCCAAAAAATGGTGCACAGTATGGGGCACCCTTTAATGAGGCAGATTGGGATGACGATAATGATGATGATATACAAAACCATGTCATATCTTTGCCATCTGATGGTCCGTCCCTTGCAGCATCAACATTGCCTGAAAATCAAAACTGCTCTGTCGTAACAAGCATGGTTGATCCTGGAAGTAAGTCTGGACAATCTATTGAAATTGGCCCGTCACATTTCTCTGGTCCTTTGGCTAATGAGGTGCCAGTGGATTTGCTGGATGATGAAATTGTTCACTTGTTGGCCTCTTTTACGGATGACAGCGTGTTACTCAATGATAATGGAAATTATGGGGTATGTGTTCTTTTGAAGTTCGATTAGTGAGATTTCTTTTGCTAGTTATATAAATTTTCATCAAGGCACCTTATCTCTTGAAAGTGCTTTTATCAAATCTGTGCAAGATAGTGACTATGAATACTTAACTCGAAAGAAATCAGAAATTCAGCACTAGAGTCTGTCAGGTGTTTAAGATCCTAGCCGTACACACGATAATAAGATTTACAAGCACAAGACCTCCTGTGTAGGATGGTGTCATTGTACCCTCAAAGTAGGCTTCTTTTCCATCATACTAGCCCCATCTATCCTGCTAAGTATACCTTGATGTTTTTTCGATTAAGAACTTAAATATTGCTGCTTTTGGATCATATATTAGCCATGTAAATACATTATGCATTCCTTCTTTACATTACCTTACTTTTTTATTGTTATTGCTTCCTTTTGGGTGGCTTCTTGTTTACTAGAAAGTCCGTAGATTAGATTTTTTTGATTTCTATTTTTACATCGGACCTTTAAATTACCAATTTGTTTTTGTTATTTGTTTTAAAATATATCCTGAGGTGTTCCTCAATTGCCCTTGAATCTGTTGTGCTTGCATACGCATTTCAAATGTTTCCCACTTTTTCATGCAGTTAGGACATGTCTCGATTGATTCTGAGATGCATGTAAAAATTGGACAAAAACCATGTATACATGGATCAATTTTGAAGTCCGACTTGTCATCGAGATTATGTTAAACAATAATACTTCCTTGAAATCTCAACATTTGCAAAGATTATTTGTAAAATCAGTCTTGTCATTGAGTATTTTTTATGTATTTTTATAAGCTTTTGATACAATTTTTGATAGATTTGATAAGAGAGTGGTTTAAATTTTGTTGATTTTAACCTCAAGATTTTAAGCTATTCCAAACATGCACTTTATGTATTAGAGGTGGTCTCTTTTTTCATTTTCTGAAACAAATGCTTCTGTGATTCCGGTATGTTATATACTAATATTTATTCTGCTGGTTACAACTTGTTAATTATGGTCTAGAGTAGCAACCTCTGATTGGAAAAATATTAGTGATGTCTTTCAGTTGTTAACTCGTAGAATCACAATTCATTTGAATATTATTTGTGATGCTTTAATTTAACCGTTTTCTGAAATAAATTGAATTTAACACAGAATCGAGATGGTCTTAATCAGAATTGGAAGAATGAATCTTTACCTTGTCTGGATGGAAATGAAATATACAACGGTCTCTGTGACTTGGATAATTGGGACTCGATGAATGAAGGCAGACTTGATTTTGCTGGCATGCAGAAAGATGGCTATCCTCTGAACTACACGCTGCCACAAGATAACATAGCTTATTTGGAACTTAATGATCTTGAAGTTCCATTGAATCACCCTGCTGAAGTTAATGAAATGGAACAGATGCAATTTGACAATTTCTTCGGACCATATGCCCAGGTTGATACAGAACAGCTAATCTTTGGAGGAAATTTTTCTGGTATGGATGAGTATGCTTCTTTCCCAGATCATCTTCCTGTGCTGCCTGAAGGATCCAACCGACAAGGCGGTTGTTTGGATGTGCTTCAGATGGTGAGTCCTCGAGACTAATTTGTTTGATTGATTTATTTATGAGCATGTTAGCCTATGCTTAAAAAAGTTTACTTACAAGCAAGTAGTCTTGAAATAAATAATTTTTATTATTTGTAGAAGTTGGAAGTAAGAAAGCTGCTTATTTTGACACTAAGAATTATTTTGAAAGAAATGTTTTAACTTTTTACTTAAAAGTAAAAGGAAAAAAATAAAAAATAAAAAAGAAATCCAAACATGTTTGGAGGCAAAAAATTATTCAAAAGTAACTTCATATTTTTTTAACCTTCGCATAACGTGCTCTAAACAGAACTTTCGTTTTTATTGACCTCTATCAGAGATGTTTACAACATTATTCTTTCTCGTTTAGATTTTTCTATGAATAATGCAGGAAAGCAGCCAGCGTGACCGTGGTCACAATGCTGCTGCTCAGACTTTGACTTTTACTAGAGACTCTGAGAAGGGGGCAAATTTCATTTGAAACACGGAAATGGGTAGTTTCGATGATAACTGATAACAATTCTGGACATGGGAACAAACATTCACTTTCAATATCTCATTCTTCTGTAATATCAACAGGCAAACTTATTTGGAAACTCAGGAGGTCCAAGAGGAATAAGTTATATTCTGCAAATCCCTGTTGAAACAGCATGCCATTTAGAACTGGAATTCTACTTGTGGCAAGGCTTGAGGTGGTCTCCTGATGTTCTGTATTCTAGTGTCTGGTTGAGTTTCATATTTATGGTGTCATTTAACATTTGTGTTGCTGAAATCTAAAAAGAAACTCATGAAAATTAGACTTCATACAATGTATTTGTACTCATGATTGACGGATGATTCAGCCTGCAGGTACTTGCTGCACAGTATATGTTATATTCTGTAATGTACTTTTCGATTCATAAATCTCATTTTATGTTTTTTTTGTTATATCTATCTCAGGGCCACAATTATCGAAATCGTCCCTACTTTCCCACTAGCAATTGCTGATGTTTGTAGTTTCTTCTTATGGTGGCTTTTCCATATATTTCAAGGCTGAGGTGAATCATCGCATTCACTAAGGACGCTTGTCGGTTAGGTTCGTGGAGTCGATATGTGTGGCTAACTTTCGTGAAAAATTGGCCTGCTGTTGCTGTGGCTTTGCATTTATCAAAATATTTTTTTTGGTTAGTTTCCTTGAATAATTGCCATTCTCATGGATTCCCGTGTCTATTGGTGGAGTTATTTGTATTATTATTTCAACAATATCAATTCTTGGGAATATCCTTCATATTGGAAATTCTTGGGAAAATGCCCTTTTTATTCCTCTCCCAATTGTGCAATGGCTATATTGAAAGTCAACCTTTCAAGGTCTATTCTGAAAGTCGCCCTCGACCCTCGTAACCATTTTATCTATGACCTACTGAGCACTGTAGATTTGAGGCAAATGCAACGTTGTGAAACTTTGAAAATGCAGTGTTATACATGAAATCCCAGAAAAAGTAACTTGGTCATCTACATAAAGAGCTGGTCGGTTTTTCTAATGTGTACGTTAGTTAGGTAGAGCTCTTAGCTGTGGACTTAGTCTCCACGTGAACCCCATTCTTGATCCTGAAGCTGAAAAATATGGTAGACAGACAAAAGTCGTACTGTCCTCGTATCATAAATTTATTTAAAATGTCAATATTTTTTGTTACTTTTTTATTAAAATATCACACACATACACCCAATATTCTAAAAGTAAACAAATATAAATTTGTTGAAAAATAGTATGGAGCCTAATTTCAACTTATTGTTATTTTTCCATAGAAGTTTCGACTCCAAAATGTTCGAGGGAATATGCTACTTGCACGTGAGGGGATCCACTTAGGATAAATAATATTTTATTCTAAGTCAGTTCTCCTCCATGTAGAGGGAAGGTGGACACCATTCTGAACACCCTGATAGCATCATCCTTGTTCAAGAATAGTGTTCTAGTCAACTGACTAGCTCTGCATAGGTCTGACGGAGTTGCATCGTTTTAGCCTTCTACTCATACCAATACATATTTATACACGTGGATTACAAATGCCATGGAATAAGTTATACTAGTGCTGGTGGTGGTAGTCCTATTCAGTGGGCATGGCCATCTTCTGTGTAGTGTGGAGTGCAAGTGAAATTGGAAACCATATTTGACAAGCAACCATCAAAATGGACCACATGAAAGCAACCACTCTTCCAGTCCTCATTTTTTTTTCTTTTCAATTCACTTTCTCCCCACAACTTGTTTGTGCTTGTGCCCACTGGCTTCAACGTCTCAACTACAATACCTTCTTTCTCCATCCTCATCTTGCTTTTGTGCTGCTTTTGTTGTGGTTGCTTTCTACGCCTTGGACGATGTTATCTAAAATCTTAAATTGATGTATAATCCCATTATGTGTTTTAAGCTGCAAAAGTGTAAACTTAAATTGAGCTTACAAGTTCATGTAAACTTACATTGAGCTTAACAGTTACCTTAATTGAGAGATTATAAAAAGAAAAAATTACTAAAAATTACTCTTTCATTTCTATAGGTACAATTTAGAATTCGATAGGAACAAGCCCTTCAGGGCATAACCCAGTGGTGTAAAGGATAGGAGTGAGGTAGTTTCAACCTTACTGACAGTCGCAGTGTAAGGGTTCGATTTTTGAGATATGAAATTGGGCTCTTTGTGGACACCAGTGTATGGACAAGCTCTTGTTCCCTAACATGTTAGGACACATCCCGCGATTTACCTCTCTTATGATACTTTAGGGGCGTGGCGTTGGGAACCCTCAAGGTTGGGATTCAAACTTTTAGAATTCGATAGGAACTATCTAAATTATAATTTTAAAATCTAAGACCTGTTAAATTCTAACTTTAACCGAAATCGATATAAAGATGATCAATTCCCAAGAAAAAGGAACACGCTATAAATAATTGTACCTTCAATACTACCCCAAATGTCACATATCGTGCATGAAGAGAAATAAAATAACAAATCAACATTTTACTGTTAGAGTGCGTTTCATTGCCAATATTTTTTATAGAAAATGTGTTTTTTCCACCAAATTCCTACTTTTGTGTTGTTTGATTGACCTTTTTCCATGAAAAATGTTTTCTTACTTTTGGTCACATGACCATATTTTCTTCAAAATCAAGGAAAATATTTTCTTTAGGGGAATATGATTTTATTTTCCACGGAATTAGCTCTCTCTTTCTCTCTGTCTCATTTATCCATTCTCTCTTATCTACTCATCAATAAAAAAGGACATGTATAATATTTTATAGCTTGAAAATTAAATAAATCACAAACATTTAATTGACAATTTCCATGTAAATAAATTCTAAACAATTAGATTACTTAGAATTTATTTTCTTTCTATACAAATTCTATGCTTGCAATGAAACACACTCTTAGTTCTTAATGAAACATTTATACAATCAAGTCATTACCTATACTATAAAGGACAACAAATGAATTATGTGCCTTATCAAATTGAGTAATAAAAAACAGATATTTATGATTTGTCAGTAAGAAAAAGAATCTCTATCATTGTAGTAGTTAATATATTCTTGTCCAAAGATTATGTGCTTCATCTTGAGATTGAACTGTTCAACTGCCAGGCTTGCACAAATTGTTCTTGTCCTTTGGATCAGTCAATATTCAAGATTCCGGGACCATTTGCACTCAATTATTTGCTGTAGAAAGAAGCAAAAAAACGTTAGGAACATATGAACGAATAAGAAAGTTCAACTTCTATGTTACTTTTTTGAGTCACGACTGACCTTAAGCAATTAATTCTTCATAACTAATGAAAGCCAGCGCTGAAAAGATTCTGCCATTCAGAATCCCAAGTTGGCAGCATTTGTGCTTGCTGCAAATATTGTAATATTTCTAATTAGATAAAAGGGCTTTTGATAAAACTGAAGAATTCGTTAAAGTTGTGCTTTCTATGCAGTACTGGACGTGTGACGTCAACTATACAGTATAATACATAATATTCTGACCTTTTTTTCTTGGAGCATGTTTGGTTATGCTTATTTTATCAAACGTTTTTCTTTTAAACACAACCATACATGTTTGAACTGTCTAGTACTGTTTAGTCGAGCATATCATAGATGCAATACGAGTTAAAAGATATTACATGTGCAGAAGAAGAATCATGATATACTTCTGTAATAGGAACAGAAGAGCTTCCTTCTTTTTGAGGTAATATTTGAGATGGAGCCATTGCTATATCAACCCCACAACTTATCCCTCCTTGTTGCAGTGGATTATACTGTAAGCTTGTTGGATTCGCCACTTGTAATTGCATCGGGAAACTGGCAATATATGCTGGAATCTTCGATGAACAATTTTCGATCATTAGTTAGCTATAGAGGAAGGCTTTTTCTTGTTTTCTGTTAAACAAAGTTAGTCGGATTTTGCAATGTCACAAGTAGTACCTCTTTTGAGAAGAAATCATCGATGCTGAAGTCGAGCCTTGGATTTAAAGCAGCCAATTTCATCGAAAGGAACTGTCAGTTACAACCCAAAATTTTGTGGACTCTAATTAGTAATGAAACAAATGAGCAATCCAAATAAGTACTTGTCACGACCTGGATAATCGAGCTAATTAGCGTTACCTCGACTTGTCTTTGTAATGACTGAACATAGTTGATGATTTCATGAAGCATTCCAGCTTTGCCAGTAACTTTGTCACATCCTGGGACTAAATCCTGCAGATACTTCATTTTCTTGCTGATTTTCTCCCTCCTTGCCTGGAAAATCATTAGCCAATTCAGTTTTCAGTTCATTTTCTTTTCCAAGTATTAGCCTGATGTTCGTTTATTTCGGATTCTTACTCTTTCGGCTAAGCTGTGGCTATCAGTGGCCTGGCCACGACGCGCCCTGACATGAATATAGTCGGGCTTTTGAATGCTTTCCTTCGAAGAATTGTTAGTCGAAGTTTCCCTATCAGTTTTCACTGTGATATCTGATTGAATTTCTCCTGCATCTCTCTCAGCCCCTTTGTCGTTGCAATCCTCTTCAACATCAAACTGTAGTAAAAAATTTCCTTAAATTTCTCACAAGAATTTATAATACAACATTAATTAAAACATAGTATAAAACCAAACCTCTGCTTTTCGTTTCCTCGTGGAATTGGACACAGTTCCTTTTCTCTTTAACATCCTGCTATCGATGTGATGATCATGTTTTGTCATTGACGAATTATTAGAAACAGCTGAAACTGAAGCACTTGTGAGTTCAGGACAGGCAAATCCAATATGCTGCTGCTGCTCTCTTCCATAAATAGCGAAACTGGGCAAATTGATTTCATCCAAACATTGATCATATTTCGCCGGATGCAAATTTGACATATTTTGGTGAATCATAGGATTTATGTTAGCAGCTTCTTGAAGTTGCCAAGAATGTTGTTGTTGTTGACAAAGGCGTTGTAAGACGGCCCTTTGTCTTTCGAGGACACTCATGTCCATGCCCATGACCGCGTATTTCTCAGGCGACGAGGTTGTGGATTGAGCCACACATCGTAACATTTTTGACCTGCCGGCTAGTGGATAAGGAGGTGGTTTATGAGTGTTGAATTAATGGGGGTGTGAATGTGAGGAAATGAAGTACCTGAATGGATATATAAGGACTAAAGAAAGAGGGGGTGGATAAGAGAGAGAAATTAAATGGCAATGAGATGAAATCAAGAATGTAATGATAGATAGAGAAGGGTGGGTGGGGTGGGGACTGGGGGGCTGGAAAAGGGTGGAGGGTGGACCAAGCACCCATTGCGCCACCATGTGAGGTTGTCCGATGAATGGTAAATGGTGGTAAAAGTGGGGGAAAGTTCTGACGAGATGAGCGTAAAAATATAGTAACTGAGAATGGTTTGAACCCTCGACCTAGTGGTTAAGGGCCACATGCTCTCTAAGTTACTCCAGCAAATATCGATACATTAGTGGACTTGAGAGCATGTTTGATAAGGAATAAAATTTGATCTAAATTTGAGTCAAACTCGAATAATCAATATTAACCGCATTTTTCATTAGTTTCACAACTTTTCAACCATATATTTCAAAAACTTCTATCACAATCTACTAAAAAATCTAATTTTAATCTCTACCAAACACGAATTTATTTAACTCTTCTTGTTTGAAATGTAAGATTAGATGAGATTTAACATAATTGAAAGAATCTCGAGATAGAATTTGTTAGTTATCTTGTTCATTCCAACATGACATTTCTTTCATTATTGAATGCTAAATATTTTGTTGATAATTTGATTAACTCAGACATAGTTTGACAATGCTTAAAAGTTAGTTAAATTTACTATAAACCTTTTTTTTTTTTTTTTTAAATGAAGAATGACTTTCAAAATTACTTTTCTAGAAGGAAAAAAAAAAATAAAACATCAATCAACATGTGATTGGACAACTGATGATTATCGATTTATTGCCACATTCGATTCAAAATGAAGGTCAGTCATAATGCTCATACGTGAGAATATATTAAACATTTAAATTTAAATAAATAAGTTCATCTTCTTAATTTATTAATCTAAAATTAAATTGCGTGGCCTTTACATATTAATGTTGTCTCTACTAACTAATAAAATACCTACATGTTAACCTTCAAACTAAACAAAATGAATTCAGTCCTCAGACGAGGAACGTGTACAGTGTTGCTTTAAATATAAATAAAAACACTTTTGTTCTTTTTCTAACATTTTTAGTTCTTGCAAAATTACAAGTCATGGCCATCAACGTCAATATATATGCAAAATCTTTTAAAATACAATGGGATTGAAAATTCACATGCTATGTTGTGTTGGATTGCATGCGGGAAATAAGTTATTTTAAGATTATAAAATTCTTACATGGGAAAAAAATAAAATTGATTCAATTTTCGTTTGGTATATAATTATATGGACCAAACATAAATAATTATATAGGCAAAAACACGTGTTATCCAAAATCCTAAATACTAGAGTTGAGGATATGCAGAAATGAAAAGGACGTTGATGATGTCATTAATGAGAATGTTGTGCAGTCGAAAATTATCAATTTATCATATGAAATGCTAAAAGCAACAAAAGGCATACTCGACTAGTTCATTATTTTTATCTTTTTTACAAGACATAATATCGATTCATGATATCTTAACATTTTAAAATATGAATTTATTTAAGATTCTAGACTAGAAAATTTGGAAGGGAACAAAGAGAAAAAGAAAAGAGGGGGGGGGGGGGGGCA